CCCCTCCCTGAAGCCGTGCAGCCCGTGATCACTTGTCTTCCTGATAATGTTTGAAGGAGTTAGTGAAAATACCAGTATCCTTAAAAGGATACAGCTTATTAGTATCTTACTTTTGTATGCTATATCATTTCTAAAACTTGCATTTTTCAAGTGTTCAATTACAGAGAAATGTACTGTCACCCTATATGGTTATGAATTTGTTTATTTTTCTTCTCCCCCTAAATGCTCTATATTCGAATTCATTAGCTGTAGCATGATATCTCTATGACTGAATGAATTTATGCACTGGAAGGATGTGTCTACTTTCATGGGCTTGTTGGTATATATCAAGTTTACCAAGAAGAAAAAGTCAGTTTAGATTGGCAAACATTTCATTAAGCTTTCACTGGAACAATAGTAGGTCATCGTCGTATCATCCTGTGGATTAAGAATACAACTGGCAATAAAAAGCAGTAAGGGAATATCCATTCCCTGCCTCTCCTTTTTTAAAAGGATGCCTGTTTTGGTACTAAGGAGCCCTGGTGGTTCAGTGGCTAAGGCGCTTGGCTGCCAAACACTGGATGAGTGATTTGATCCCACTAGCTTCTCTACTCCGTATGAGAAAGATGTGACGATCTGCTTCTGTAAAGATCTGTAGCCTTGGCAAGCCTATGGGGCAGAACTCCTTCCTGCAGGGTTGCTGTGAGTCAGAATCAACTCAGTGTCTGTGAGTTTGGTTTGGGATTTTTGAAATACATTGTTTCCATATTATTAGTTCAATGAATGTTGAACTGTTTGAAGAAGGGCAAGATTGTCCATGAGTGATGACTGGAGAGTGTGGATGAGTAAGAGTTTTGATGGATTAGTGCAGGGGATTATGAATGCATTATATAGTCCAGGTACATGATACTTAGAACTATTGCATATAGAATATGTTAGTTTAGACTACCCCCCCCCATTTAATTGCCTTGTTTAAACTTTTTTAAGTCCCAGTCAAGAATTGTAGCTCTGTAATAATCAATTAACTGTACTTTATGTTAAAACTCCATAAAACGTCATAGAACTAATGAAGTCTATTTGCATTAAGAACACGGTTCATTTATGTCCAAGGAGAGATCTTGCCAGCCAAGCTTCGGAGGTGTCTGAGAAATCCTATGATTTCACTGACTTGGTCATTTTATGCTTCTCCTCTGTTTCCCTGGCTTGAACTGTGAATCTTGTAGATACTTCTTAAAACTGTTTGAGACACTTTCTAAACCTTAGCATTTGATACTCTCTTATCCCCTTTTTCTTTTTTAGCTTTTAGTCTTTTATTACCTGTTTAGGAGCTCTGGGTCCAGACTTTCAGTCTATTCTTATTCCAATGGTACAATTTAAATTTAAATTAGGGATTCATTAAGTACTAAAAGGAGTAAATATGTGCAGGTCACCATTCCTTAAATCATGCTTCTATGATGAAAGATATAAAACCACACATTCTTGGCTTTTTATGTGGTAACTGGTAGGAAAGCAAATATTAACAGTTTTATATTGTTTTGCTATGTTTATATCTTGCCAGTGCATGTGTGTATGTGTGTGTGTGTGTATGTGAAGAGAGAACTGTTAATAATGTTGTAAACAAATTGTTAGCCTAGTAATTTTTATAGTGCAAGAAGTCTCTTGACACATGGCCTGAATACAATTTAGTGATGCAACTAAATATAAATTTAGGAGTACAACAACCACAGTCTAATCTCTGTACTTTAGCTACCATGTTGCCATCCAGTCCATTCATACTGACCCTACAAGATAGTAGAACTGCCCTCTAAGGTTTCCAAAGTAAAAGCAGACTGCCACAGCTTCCTACTCTGGGTTTGCATTGCTGACTTCTCAGACCTTTCAGTCAGCAACTGAGCATTTAGCCAGGTACCACCAGAGCTCCTCTCTATACCTTAGTTCCCTTGAATTATAAAAGACAGTAGAGATTTAACTTTAAAAGCAAGTAACATGATGATTTTGATTGGGGTGGGGATAAGGGGCTATGACCTCTGGTGTGGCGCTGTAGGATCAGCACTGGACTGCGGACCACAAGGTTGGCAGTTCAAACCTACCGGAAATCCTGTATAGGGTCACTATGAGTCAGAATTGGCTCAACAGCACTTAACAACAACAAGGGGAGCTATATGCTTACTGTTACTTTGTTGCTAGGAAAAAAAAAAAACACCTTTTAATATTAAGGAAATTTCAACCCAATCTTGTCTTCTGAATGAATTTCTCAAGTGGAACTACTATGTAAACCGTAACACTGCATAGTGCGGGCCGCCTCCCCGCACCTGTTCAACGGAGAAGAACTCAGTGTCCTGAAGGCAGTGTGCAGGAAAAGCCCGAACCCGAGAATAAGTCTCATCACACAGTGTCTTCTGAAAAACAATATATATATACTGTGTTCATTCGAGTGCCTTTCTCTCTTACTTCTTTTGGAGCAAGATTATATTTCAATCTCAAGTTTAGGCATAAAAACAAAGGACTCTTGCTAAATGAGCAGAAATGGAAATTATTGGAGGTTTTATCATACAATTTTTTGTTAAAGTCATTCAGTTACGAATTCCTCCTCTTGGTAAGCCTGGATCTGTCCCTTGGGGTATTTTATCTTTTTATGATACTGGTGTGAGCAGGTTTTGCATTTCATTATCATTTTCAAGCCACCACCCAAGAATCATTCTTTTCCCATGACAAGTAGCTTTGTTGGGGCGTTGGAGTTATCACATTTAAAGGGTAGTATGTATGTTATTCAAAGTCTGCCTAAGTTCTGTGTAACT